TCGCGGGACGCCGCTTACGCAATTAGCTTTCAAATTTCATTAACCGAACGCGGTGTTCGACGACCGAGAAATGACATCGGTAGCGGGGTTAAGGCCAGGATCCGAGCTAATTGCGGTGCTAAGGTTTCCCGGGTCGGCGAATAAATCCGCGCGACCGCATAAATCTACATGTCCGATCGGATAAGTCCCGATGCCCGTCGCGAATTACATAAACTAGCGAGCCGCGTTTCATTAGGCCGGAGTTTCTGCGCGTTAGCCGTACGAGGAAAAGGCTAAATGACCGAAAGTGCGCTCGCTCCGGCACTTCCAACGACGAGCACGCGCGCGCGCGCGAGCGCGCACGCTGCCAATCGCCGATCTCGCCGGTCTTTACAGCCGCGCGCACGCGTAATTAACCGATAAGTAGGGACGGAACCGTCGAGTAATCTAACGAGTCCTAATGACTTCTAAATAACCGAGTCGTCCGAGCGGCGTTCGCGGCCAGAAAAACCGATGAGCGTATCGTTTATCGCGTCCGAGCGAGTAATTTAGCGTCGAGCGGCAGGCTCCGATCGATTCCACGGGGAAACACGTTCTTCCAGTGAAAATCACCTTAGACGCTCCGCCTTCTTAAACGTCCGTTCCACACGCCGCGGACCGGAGATCGTTTAAGCGCGCTGCCGATCATTACCCACCGCCGGCCGATAGGTTTCATCGGTTTCTACGCTTGTACTTCTTTGTTTACCCGGGGATCTCGTTACCCTGAATGATTTGCCAATCGGCGGCGCTTCTATTAGCCGTTTAATTGCTCGTTGACCTCGCCGCGACGTGCCCGATCCGGGCCCAGATGGAAATCAGATTGCGATAACGCTGCTGCCGGCGAACGCGCGTTTAAACTAGTGGAAAGCGTAACGAGGATTTAATGGCACGCGTTTAATGACTCGCGTTGAAAGGCCCCGTTCTTTCTCTCTTTCTTGCGTACACTTTTAACCCCGTGCACTCGGAGGCTCTTCCGGTAGAAGTATGCTGTACGAAATTTCATGTTATGTCTTAGACTTTCCGATTAGCGAGCTTCATAATGACGCTCGTGCTTTCGCGGTTCTACATATGTAACTATATCGTACCACTACGCTGCTGCTAATTTAATGGTAACAAGGAAATATCGAACGCCAAACTTGAGAGTTTCGCGACAGCGTGAACTCACATTTCCACTAGACATTTCATCATTAATTATAACATTTTAAAGTAGCTAACGAGAAAACGCAAATTAAGAAACAAAGCTGCTTTATCCGAATACTTCACACATGGACGCATTGTACGAAGCTTAATGACACATACGAATCTTCATAATTTCGCTACATCGAACTAAGTGGCGACCGAGAGTCACCTCGCCAGCGCAGAGGTTTAATCCTCCTCCCCCTTCTCCATTTAACCCCGGATCGTAGGTAGAGACCGGCCGAGAAAAAGGACACGAAATCCGTCGCCGTGGCGCCCGAGGTGTGGCCGGGCGCCTCCGCGAGAAGGCGCCGAGTCACCTCGCGCCGTACCGCGCTGCGAGACCAACAAAAGTTTAAGCGGGCACTTAAGACGCCCGCCGACAGAAGCGTCACTAATTTTCCCCGGTTTTTGCGGCCCGTTCACGCGGCCCTCTCCGCTTTCTTTCGACCGGACGCCGGCGATAATCATGGCACGCGTGTACCCCTCTTCCACCGTCTCGTTGTCCCTTCGGCTCCGATTAATCCGTCGATCGCCTCGAAATGTCTGGTTCGGGACGCGGTGTCCGGATCGGCTAATTAGAGGCGCGGGTTCCTTCCAAAGTGCACGCGTGAATACCCATGTATCTCGGCAGATTTGTAAAGTAGCCATTTTCAACGTAACCAGAGAAATTCGAGCGATTAACACTAGAACGGTACCAGTCAAAATGACTGGTTTCAGTTTTTCTGTTTCGCAGTTAACGATATCCTCAGAGCATTGAATATTCAAAATGATTTTGAAAATAAATAGTTTCACTTGAATACTATAGTGAGTGTCTGAAGAAACCTACAATATTCATAGCGATTACATTTCAATCAAATGCTCGGTAGTTCTAGTGTTAAATTAGAAGGTAACTTCGTTTCCATTGAATGGAATTAAGCGAAATTGATTACGAGATCGTGTAAATCGGTGAAGTGAAGAATAGTGATAGCACGATAACGAACGCAACGGTTCGCGACCGTTGAAAAATCGTGTTGGGCGCCCGCGAGCGCTGACGGAGCGTCGATGTCTCTCATTACGCCGCTCGCCTCGTAATTGACAGTCTAATGGCATGGTTTCAGGGCTCACGGTTGCGCTGCCCCTCCACGTCACCGGTGCGTCGGTGTTCATCGCCGGTCCTCCGAGATCCTCATTAACGATTCGCTCCCTTTGTGGCCGATCCCGGGCCGCTTGTCCAAACTAAACGGCCGAAGAAGTCGCGGAGTCACGAGTCGCGGGTGTTCCGGAGCTAATCGCCGGACGAAACGCCACGCCAGGTAAGGACTGGAAATAGCGGGACGCGAAGCTGCTCCTCACGGGTGAGTTGTTTTTTAAATCACGGGAAGAAGCTTCTTCGGAACCTGGCGAAGGCTCTTGCACCGAACGAGTGGAGATTAACGTTTGATACTTTAATTATTATTTAATTTGAATTTAGATGCAGTTCTTTGTGTAGATTTGAAGATTGAATTCCTGGGTGATCTGCAGGACGAATGTGAGTTTGTTCAATTTATAAGGAATTCATTTTGTTTCTTTAAGAATCGTTTGAACTTCATAGCGGTTTCAGTGATTCGATATTCAACGCGTTAAAGACTCGAGAAGCTAATTCCCCGTGCGCTTGTCCTCGGCTCGCTTGAATATTCTTTTGAAATTTATATTTTCTATAAGACTGCAGCACGGTCTTTGAGTATCTTACCCGGGGATCAAGGGGTTGAAGATTGGAGGGTATTTCAATGTCCGCGGATTAAAATGCAGACGGTGGGAGATAATTGAATCGCCTTTTGATTAGAAATTCTCGTTCTATCGCTGAGGATTCCGCGAGATCCCGTCAGGGGTTGCCTAAGCGAGAGGAGAAGAAGAAGAAGAAGAAGATGAAGAAGAAGAAGAAGCTGGGAAACGGAATGGTGAACGAGGAACGCCTTCTATTTGAGAGTTCCCAGTTCATTTGCTATCGTCCTTGATCAAGCGTAGCGAAGCGATTTCGAGGAACGATGCGATTTTCATTTTCCACGGTGGATCCTGAACACCGAATCCTCGTGACTAACGAGCGTAATGATCGAGGAAGGATGGAACGCATCCACGGAGACGAAATTGCAGACGCCACTGAATGACTCGGTGGAAACCTCTCTCCGGGCACAAAGGATGCCGCTGAAGTTCCTCAAATCAACTGCGACGTCTAGCTTAATTCCTTTCCGTTGCCAAAGTCGCAGGGTTCAGCTTGCCTTGCCTCCAGCTATAAATCGAATTCATAAACTCTAGCTTTAACGCTAGAGCTACGATTCAACTGACGTCTCATACGCTTCCCGTAACGTATATTTCAATTTGCTTGCTCATCAACTTCCTCGATCGTTACTCAAAGCGTCCACACCTTCCCAATAATTAAAAACAACGAAATCACGCCACTTTCACTTAGACCACAGTGTACATACTCTACTATTAAATAATCCTATTTCCAATTCTGCTCGAGGCATTTCTGACGTCAAAGAGCAAAATAGAGAGCGTAGAAAGTGTTAGGATGAATATTAAATTAAGGTCGCCGAGAGGGTCAAGGGAAAATAGCGCGAGGGAGAAGGGAAAAGCGAAGTCTTCGGGCGAGAGGAGAAGAAAGTGGGAAAAGAATGGACAGTCGTAAGGTCAGAGTTACTCGCTACACGTTCGCATTAATCAAAATCGCGAGATCGGCCTAATGAACCCCGATTTCCATGACTCGCAGTCTCCGATCGCGTGTCGCGCGACGAATCGGCCGACGACGAAAATCGCTTCTCAGGTTCGTTTGTACGGAAAGCGCGAAGAGAGTCCTGTTTTCGTAAAATAATCCCGGCCCCGGCAAAAACCGGCCGGTTCGCCGAGGTGCCCGGTTTTTTAAAAGGGATCGTTCACGCTACCGCGATTACCGGTGTTACCAGCGCGCGGGGCCGGCCGGGCCCGAAGGTGGCTACATGACTTTCGAGATGCTCTGCCGGGAGAGAAGCCGATCGGCTCGGCCGATGATCCTTGCGTTTAACCACGTAAACAGCGCCTTTGTTGGCCGCCGCGATTTCCATTTACGGATTCGATACGCGCCGTCACGAAAGACCGCGCCGCTACGCCTCTCATTCGCCGGGCACGGCTCGTGATGAGGAGAGCCATCCCCCGATTGACATGCACAGAGTAACGAAAATGTCGAGCGGCCGATCGATCAGCTTCTTCGCCGGCTTCTTGCCCCGTTTACCAAGTCAATCTCCCGCTCCCCATTCAGCCGCGGGTTTTCATTTACCGGGGGCGTGTGTATTTTTCATCGTGATTCGCGGGTCTCTTTGTTCTACCCGGCGATCGCGTTCTCTTTTTAACGCGGCCCTTTATTGAATGGCCAGAACAATGGCCGCTTTTTCTACTTGTTTGTTACCTTTCCCGGGCTGTTCCGTAAGAAGCCCGCGCGGTGCAAATTGTTTCAATTTTTAGCAGGCGAACAGGTACTGTTTAACCTTCGCTTCCCTACGTTCGGCTGTGATCTTTGTATTAACGTTAGTTTTCCTAGCGAGGTTCGATAGTAGTTTGATAATGTTGATAATAGATAATATTTCGAGAAGGTAATGGCGTTAGGTGAATATTAAGTTTGTTACCATTGGAGGTTGTTCGAAAAATGTCGTTCTATTTTATCCGAGAAAAGTACTATCCGTCTTAAGGTCGTCCCGTCTGTCGCGAGGGATTGTTTATTATTCTTCAAGATCATCCCGCCAACCCCCTATTGTCGTCGCGGACACCGTCGATTCGTCAAGAGCGTCATAAGTTTGATCCTCGTTTAATCCTACCTTCTATTCTGGTACCATGTCTTGACTTGTGTGTCGGTTAGCTGCAACTTGGACGCCAGATCCATCCTGTCCTGCACGCTCAGATACTTCTGTCGCTCGAAGCTCTTCTCCAGAGTCTGGAGCTGATGATCCGTGAAAGCCGTGCGCGCTTTCCGCTGTTTTTTGCTCTGCGCCGAGCTCAGCGTGCTAGACGAGGAGCTTTTTGGGTCGTCCTCCTTGCCGCCTGAAAATCCGTGAAACGTTCGTTTAAATCCTCGTTGAATATCAACGGTTCGTTACGCGACAACTTATGTTACCTTAAACACTAATTTTACTAAGGTACAGAAAAGCTGTCGCCCGTAAAACATTGATTCATTGCATCGTACAAACCGATTTCATTTCATTTCCTTTTCATCAAACTTTCGAGAGCGTTATCAACTAATACTTAACCCTTTGCACTGCAGAGGAGACTCTCACCATTCGATTTGATACAACAAAATTATAAAATGTTATATATAATATTAAGTTTCGTATCACGCATCAATATCTGAAATACTCATACTTAATTTACGTGTTTTACTATTAGTCTGCTTCAAATAATGTCGCCTGTGTCTTATTGGAATATGTTGAATGTTTCCATTGAAAAGCTTCCGAGCACAAAGGGTTAAAGAGGATTAACAATGCTTCAGCAACTAGAACACACCCCGAGGTCACCGAAAATTTCTCGATAAACGCGGAGATCCTCGGACAAGCTCGTCGGCGGGGGCGTAGGGGGTGGGCAAAGTTCGCCGGAGAAGAGGCTTTATCGCGGCCCGCCGGGGAAGTAATCGATGCCGCGCGCCGGTACGTTTTTACCGCGTCCCCGCATGGCGATCGCGGCGGCGGCCGCCTCTCTATCGGCGGAGAGATCCTTTTGTTCTCAGCCGGAGCCCGCGCAGCCGTGAGCCGATTGGCTGGTATCGCGGATTGGACCACGCAGCCGCGTCGAGACGCCGCAAATTATCCTCCCGTTTCGCCGGCGAGCCACGGACGGAGGGTGGGATTCCCCGAGGAAACCGATTACACCCGATACACGTCGGCAAGTTGCGCTTCTCCGCGCCGCGCGCGCACGGATCAAATCCGACGCGTGCACGCACACACAGCCGCGTCCCCTGTTCTCTCGGTTCATCCCCCTCAAATCTCGTTAACGCTCTTCCCTTATTTTATATTTTTTCCGCGGCTTTTTTCGCTGCCGTCGCAATTTTCTGGCCGCCTAGCGTCAGAGAGAAACGGGGAGGACGCTTCGGAATGATTGGACACCCGTTCGATGGTCCGTCGAACCTGAAAGTTGGGCAGCTAAGCGTCATCGAGAACCTTGGTGTTCAAGTGAAGCGTTGGTAGGTGTTTCAGCTGGAAATGAGAGTTTCTCGATGAAGAATTGCGAGACGCTTCGGCAGCGATCGTGTTCCGAGGGATCGATCAGAAAGCTCGGCAGCTCCTTAGGGGATGAGCACTGCGGGCTTCTAAAAGTATCTAAAGAGCCGTTGTCGCGAGCTCATCGATTGGAACGGTCGTGGGTGGTACGGAAGAAAGAAGCTGCGGGGACCAGGCGGGGCGAGGAGGCGCGAGGGGAGGCTAGAAAAAGATAGGGGACGACACGTAGGAAGCCGGCAGCCCGGTAGCTAGAGGGAGGCAGCGAGGGAGGATGCCGGAGAGCCGGTGGATCGAGTTAACTCGAACGAAAGCGTGGCTCTTAGCCTCCGTTTGATCGGCCAGATTCGCTCGAACGGGTCCGGGACTGGTCCGCCATGTTGGCAAAGATGGCCGACGATCCCTCAGGAGAGGCACGAGGAGGAATTTCATCGCAGACAGCGTCGGCTCGGCTGGAGGTCGCGCCACCGGGGGAAAGAGGCAGGGAAAGGGGCGGAGGGGCAGAGAGCGAGAGGCAGGCGGTGGAAACGGAGGTTGGAAAACTAAATTTACTATGTGATACACTTAGAGCCCCGGGTCTCAACCGACGCAGTTCTCTTTTTTAGACACTTCCAAGACGTTGGACCGAAACTTTTTCATCCCCACCCGCGGAGAGTTTGAAGTAACTCGAGAACCATC